CTTGCCTCAAGCCTGATGCTTTTGCTGTCTTTCTGCACTCCAATATCCCCATGGCCACAGGAAAGCAATGTCAGCTGGGCAGTAACAGCGTTCCAGGTGTGTGTTAAGTTTGGTCTAAGCAGTCTCTGTCTGCAGGGTACTGTAGTGTAACTTGATATGTAAGTAGACTGTGCACTGCTTTGTAACAAGCAGCTTAGTCTTAGCCAACCACAAACACTTAACTGTGCAAACCACATTAACACAAGATAGACACAAGCTGTCACTGGCTAATTGGGTTGTGTCTACATCATTTCCATTTCCTGTAGGTCACTTCCTTTTTCTGGCTATACACACAACTTGTCCTTTGGGAGGGAAGACTAAACCCTAACACTAACCCTATTCTACTTTAGTTTCATATTATTGACAGTGATTCTAGCATCACAAGTAAAGTCGTGTGAGATCTGAAAAACAAGATTTGTTATGATTTGCTCATGTAACATGTGCCGTGCTCTGTGCCATCTGGCTTGCTTCATGGCAGTCCTCACAGCTGCAGGGCTGGGCTCCTTTGTTCACCCAGCACTCCTCACATCATGCACCTCTCTGGAGTCTGTACACCTCCTTTTTTGCTCCTCTATCCCTGAGCACAGGAAATTCATCTTTTTCCTGTGAAACTGTTGATCTATGAACCCTCTCATCCTTAGAGCACCTGCTTGGCCTAGTGCCTGATTTATATCCCTTCTTTTTGTGATATTTAACATATTCTACTTTCTGGATTGGGAGTGAGATCATACTTTCACTGAAACATCACACAGAGACAGAGAGAGAGAGAGAGAGAGAGAGAGAGAGAGAGAGAGAGAGAGAGAGAGAGAGAGAGAAGCAAAAGGAGAAGTTAATAATCTGAGATACAAGAACAAAAGCCAGAATGATTTGGGGCTTACTCGAGAGCTTTGCACACAGCTCTCTATAAACATTGCACGAGGAGAGCCAGTGGCCTGAAATGCATACAGCGGAAAGGTAGGAGTGTAATCTGTGGTTCTCAGCATTATTAACTAGCATAATACTTCTTCCCGAGGGTCCTGATGCTTTGATTTCACAGTATTAGAAATGTACAACCCTGTCCTGGCCTTGCTCAATTTTTTCAAAGCTATCAGAATTCACCTTTCATTCTCATATTTCACCTGTTTACATGCTGTGTGATTAAATTAAATGAATTCATCTTCTGATACTGAGCAGGTGTCCTGGTGAAATGGTGAGCCCATGATTGAATGTGGGAAGCAGAAACAGATTTCACCAGAGACACATGTCACATAGGGTGTTCAGCCAGATGCCCTTGATGGCTTCGTACAATGCAGAGCCTGAATGTGTCAGTCGAAACTGTCCAAGAATGAACAAAAGGCTATTAAAGCAGAGGTCGTGTCCAAAGGTGAGTGGAGTATACTCTAAGGACTCCTATTTCACCTAGAAAATGTAACCACTCTCCAGTATATATTCAGATAAATTTGGGGATTTTAAATGCTTTGTCATGCTGTTTATCATTTTCATTTTCATTTTTTATCGGTACCAGGGATCGAACTCACGACCGCCTGCTTGCAAGGCAGGTACTTATGCCGCTGAGCTAAATCCCCAGCCCCAGTCATGCTGTTTATAATGACACATTAAAAACTTTCAGTACAACGAAACATTTTTTAGGATAAATTTTGTACAGAGCTGCACACACCATCACACACACAATAGACATTCGATAAAAGTGCTAATAAACTAACTAAAATAGTAATTGCAAAAGAGACATGTCTAAAGGGACTTGGAACATGGTCCCACTCACAGACTGGAACTCTTGCTTATGCTTTTCATTTTTTCAGAAATCCTGAGGAAGATCAAGAAACAATCAGAAGACTGTGGCACGTGACTGGAGAGCAGAGACTCAGATGAGGAGGTGGGAGCGCTCTGCTCTCACCAGTCCACCTCAGCTTAGGGCTGGAACCCACGTGGCTGTGCCTGGTCTCTACCTGCTTTACTCTGAAGAGGAGCTTCCTGAAAGCCAATGATTGGGTCATCATATTCCTTACCTGGATATGACAGGTGAAGTATTTTCAACAATACAGTGATTTCCTGTAAGAGTAAGGGAATACCCTTATTCTTAAATCTAGTTAGCAGATGACAGTGTTGGCTGGATGCTTAGGACAGCCCCTGATTGCTGATTTTATTAGTAACATCCCAGGATAAAGTACGGCGAGAGAATTAATTTTTTTTTAAAAAAAAAAACCTTCATTCATCTCCCTTTTTCTCTCTTTTATTCCCAAAGTATTCAAGGTAAACTGTTGAAAAAGGGAGAACACATAGTTTGCTTTTTAATAATAAGATGGAAAGACAATAGAAGTAGGTTTTTCCTATTCACTAAAGTTTTCCTATGTATACGAATTATGGGAAGAAATTTCCAGTATGTTGTTTTCATAACTGTGAGAAAATGTCTGAAATAACAAGCACCTTGGGAAGAAAAGCTTGCTTTTAGCTCACAGTTTGGGAGGTGCAGTCCATAGTGAGTTTGTCCTGTTGCTTTTGAATCTGCAGTGAGACAGCACATGATGGAAGGATCATGCAGTGGGAGAAACCGCTTAACTCCTAGTGGCCTAGTAACACAGGGAAAGAGATAGGAACAGCAAAGGCTCCCAAATGCCCTTGGAGCTCATACATCTGATTACCGAAGTTCCTGGTATTAGGTCCCAATTCTTAAGGGTTCTACCAATTCTCAATAGCATTATGGCTGGAGACCAAAACTATAACACATGGCCCATTAGGAACATTTGATATCCAAACCATTTCAGTCAGTAATTCACTCAACACACTTGAGTACACCTACATTGGAGTACGGTATGTGATTTTTCTAATAAAGACAAGTAAAAGTAGAAATGGGAAGCTAAGAATTAAAGCCATTTGGAGAAAGTGGGAATGCATGGCTGGGTAGCCTGGCTCTGAACTGATCTGGTAAAGGCCTATTGTACTTGTTTTATTTACATGCTCCTTCTCCAAGGAGCATCATTTCTGCATGAAGCTGCACTGTAATGTCAGGCACAACTGGCTGTCAAAGCCGGTGCCTGCTATGCGCATGTCAGGAGAAGTTTACATGCGTTCATTAAGAGGATCATGTAGCATGCCGGGATCCTGTACAGCTTTTGCTGGCTGCTCCACAGAGCACAAATTTCGAACACAGGGACTCTGACACTGAGCAGTTCTACATGGCTAAGGACAATCATCTTGACATGAATCAGGAGCTTCTCTGCCAACAGTGAGAAGCTAGGTCTACATTAACAAAATCGATCAGCATTGTCCCTTGGTCTTCTCAAGGGATTGGATACAGGATTCCCCCGGGATACCAAAATTCACAGATGCTCAAGTCTCTTTTACATATAACTTAAGCACATCTTCCTGTATATTTTAAATCATTTCTAGGTGAGGTACAAGATCTAAAACAGACAGCTGCTGCTAGGTGAATGCTTCTTATCTTGTGTTAGTTAGGGAGAAATGACAAGAAAGATTGGTAGCTATTCAGTTTAGGAAGGCTTGACTGATTATTTTTCTGAATATTTCTTTTATCGTAACAATTTTTTTCTGATATTGCCTTTGGTTGAATTAATAAATGAAAAGTCATAGGTATGGAGGCTGACTGTGATCAGGAAATTACTATCACAAAATGACTGTAGAGATCCTCTAACATGGCTTACCTTTGCACAGATTCTCAGATTATCATTGACCAGAAGATCAAGAAGGGGAACAGATCATCAACTTTTATCCTTTCCTTGTACCATTTAGACAGAACTGAAAAGCCTGCATTTTGGTGGCTTTTTTAGGTTCTGATTTCTTTCTCTTTTAATAGTCTCAGGTCTTTTTAACTTGCTTATTCTTCCCCATTGCTGACCCAAAATGTCTGAAGAAGTTATGTCACCCAGATGACTTCTTCCATCCCTCATTCTTCACCAGTAGCAGGCTCTCTCTCAGGCAGACACTCTCAAGAGAGGCTTCTTTCCTAGTTCCTGCCTTATGTGGCAAAGCCCCAATCTTCCTTTTTAAAAAGACCCATTAATCTAAGTTTTATGATCTCAAATTTGGACTGTTCTTTGTGTTCCCACATGTCATCAAATTTTTCATCTGCTATTTTTCTGCTTTCAGCATTAAGACAAACATAACACATACTCAGTTAGAATCTGCACTTTAGTAAGAGTCTGGGGTAGATAATGCTATGCATATTAAACTCTAAAAAACATCATGTGATATGCCCAGTGTCTCTGCCAAGTATTTACCTCTATTAGTATACTACTTAATTTTACAATTCAGTGAATAAAGTACTATTATTATCTCCCTAGTACACATGACAAAATTAAGGCTTAGCAGCTGTAAAAAGATGCCTAAAGTCACAAGCTATTATTCAGGATATTATGAAGAAATCTTAATGAACGAACAAAATTATGAATGGGCAGATAGGACAGGCCATGATACGGAAATAGAGCTGAATTCTGGAAGAATTGTACTAATTAGCCAACCTCAGAGAAAGGGGAGGTGAATCTTCCAGAGAAATGTTGATAGCATGTGTAAATCAGTTTGAGGCCAACCCTGGAAACATATGAGGTCACATTTCCAAAAACAAGGAATGGTAAGAATTTCCCATATATGTATTAGAAGATGATAGCTATTGATCTCTTTATAATTTTTAAAAATTATTTGATCATAAAAACAAAACATCTTGGCTTGGACCTCCATATGGATCAAGTGCAAAATGATAAAGCATGTTTTCATTTTTCTTTCTACCAAGAGGGCAACTGGGCCACAAAGGAGAATGGTCTTTCTATTAATTCGCTATGATAAGTGACGAGGAAGATATATTATGCATATTTCACAAATTATGTATAAAAATAACAAAACATAACAGTCCTATTTCAACAAAGTGCATTAGGACAGTGTCTTGGAGTTTGACAAAATCAGCCAGTCAATCTTTCCCCAAATTCAGAAACCAAATTGCAAGCCCTTACCTTGGAGGGCCTGTAAGCTATGAGTCTGTACGATAATGCAGAGCTGCAGGACCAGCTGAGGAGCACTTTCCAGAAAGGTGGCTAGCAAATGCAGCATACTCACATCTGCATACTCATACACCATTTTCCAGTAAAACCGCCATCTGTCATTCTCCCCACTCTGCCGGCTCCGAATGCCTAAGTATATTGTGTGGAAATATCTAGAAAGCAAACATAAGAGAACAAGAAGGAGATGAGTGATCATCTGTAATTCTAATTTGTGGATTGGTTTTCTTTTTTTTTGCAAGCCATCATATGCAAGCATACTTGGGAGGCAATTAACTTGGTGACATAATTTAAAGCTCAAAGCTAATAGCTTTATGAATACCCTTATTCTTAAATGTTCACACCAAGACATCACTGTAATGTAGTTCTCCTTTAAGGTGTTCCACTGAGTTATGTTATGAAAAGAAATGGGTTTCATTTGATAGGCATTCAGATGTAGAAGGGATTTGCTGCTTTAAAAATCTATATACATCTTTTCTTGTTAGCTCCTCTACCTGCCCCACAGTAATCATGAGGCAATCATCTTTTAGGACACAATTCAACCTCAAGTCTCAAGTCTCAAGTATTAAAATGTGTGTGCTTGTAAATCTTCTTTATGTCTTACAAAACTTTTTACTATTGAAATTTTCAAATGTATGCAAAAGGAAAAATAAATAGGTTAAAGAATCTGTTATACCTTTCGCTCACATTAGGTAATTATCAATATAGTGATGTTTCTTCAAATTACTTGCACTTTCTCCTTGCTACCATATTATTTTAGAATAAACTCTAGGTATCACATTCCTTCATCTGTAAATGTGTTATTAAAATCATTTAAAGACCAATAACATTACCACACCTATAAAAATAATTTAAAAAGCAACACCATTATTGCTCTTATAAACAGTGATCATTATTTTAAGATTAGTAAATAATCAGTGCTCATATTTTCCTGGTTGCCATAAATTTTTTAATAGTTTGTTTGAAATGCAGTTCAAACCAGATCTTCACATAATTGTTTGATATATATCTTAAATCTTTTTCTGCTATGGATCCTTCTTTCATTTAAAGAATATTTTTGCATATTCTTCTTTTCCTTGACTTGATGATGTTATTTGCATGGTGTTAACAATCTGTCCATTGCGTTTTCTGCAAATAGGTAGTTACTGCTAGAATTTGAAAGAGATTTAAGTTTGATCACCATAGGAAGTGATGACATATGCTTTTATCAAGAGGCACACCATATTCTGTTATTCTTTTTTATGATGTTATCTGCCATTGGTGAAAATGCAATCAGTGTTGCAAATAATGATATTCTGAGTTGACTGCTCTTCTTTATTTATTAACTAGAATAATACTTCTCCAGGGCTTTGGTCAATATCTGCATGGCCTTTGGTATCTGGAGCTTGCTCTCCAGTAGATTCTTCTAGAAAGGTACTAAAGAATGGATAGCATTCCCTAAGTTTTTGCAGATGCAAAACAGAATGTGGTTATCAATTTAGCCCAGGATGGGAATAAATTTCCTTACCCAACTTTAAAGTTTTACAGTTTTAGTTTGAGATTTGTGCCCATTTCAAGAGTCCATGAGAAAACTTCACTTGGCCAATGCAGAGTCACAAAAGCCAGGAGTAAAGAATAGTAGGGAAAAAGCAAGGAAGCAGAACAGCAGAAAAGTCTGGGCAACCTTTCATTGGCAAATCAGGTTGGATGGATGCAAAATGCATGGAAGGCAAGCTCTGCAATGTATTTCAGTGAATATTTAAAAACAGTTACTTCTTTGATTGCTAGCATAAAGTGTTGCCATGTAACAGTCTGAATTAAAATCTAGTATTCTGTGATTAAAACTAGTATTCTCTGTCATATATGCTCTTAGACATTTTGCTTGGATGCCAAAAGAATAATATTTTTAAATGCAAATAACATTTTAGCATGTATCTTAACAATGGCTATTCTTAAACAGTTTTCTCAGGAATGTGACCTGCCTCTTCATGGTGAGGCTCCAAATTTCAACACATAGTTTTAAGTTACCTTAAATGAGAGTATTTAGTATTTTTAATTGGTTGCTTCAGAATTTTTTGAGGCCTCTCTTTTAAATATGTTATATCTTCTTTCTCTATTTTCTATGTTTCTTCTGAACCCATTTACTCTCAAACTATTTTTGATTTAAAATTTTTTTCAGGCTCATCTCATTCTCCGTCACACACCAGTCTCCCCATCCTTCATCCAGAGGACTGTAACATGCCTGTTAGATCCCCAGTGACACAGCCGAACTCAACCAGGGTGTACATGGTGGACAGGGGCATTAGCAACCTGGAAAAACTTGAAATATCATTAATAATATGAGCCAATGGTAGCTTCAAATCAATATTCCTAGGGTAGCCTAACCAGAAAGAATCTACGACACTCCATCTAGCCCCACAGGGGGAACACAGGAGGAACTCAGGTTGCTGGCACGTGCCCTACACTATATAGTCATTGACTGGAAGAAAGCCAGCCACACAGTAGGATCCTGACAACAGTGCACATGAGGCATAATAAAACTAGTAATATTGAAAAGACCAAACTGAGAACCAATGGGCAAAAAGGACAAAACAAAAAAACAAAATGCAATCTCAGAATCCAATTTCCAGAACAAGTATATGAGACTTTGATGTAGAAGAAGTTGAAAGATACACACCTAACATTTCTGAAAAGATAACAAGTGAAGTAAAGAAACAAACCCATGGAGCTATAGAAGAAATCAGATCAGAAATAATCTCTCAGGTAAAAAAAAAAGAAAGAAAGAAACAGCATCTATAATAAAGGAATTGCTCAGCATAGCCAGAAAAGACATAGACAAAAAAATAGAGGAGCATAGAAAAATGATGGAAACTTTGAATAATATGGGAAAGAAACAGAATGCATGAAACAGATTCAAACAGATATCTAGAAAATAAAGAAACACATTTAACTGAAAAAGAAACTGAAAGTCAAAGGATGGAAAACAATACTCCATGCAACAGGAACACAGAAAACAGTAGGGGTAGCTATCCTATTTGCAGACACTTCAAACCAAAAATTATCAAAAGAGATAAAAAAGGTCACTACATACTTAGGGGAAAAATTCAAGAGATAGAGATAGCAATAATAAGTATATATGCACCAAACACAGGAGCATACAACTCTATAAGACAAACATTAATATACATGAAAAATCAAATAAGCAATAATGCAATTGTAACCAAGAGCTTAATACTCAACTGTCATAAAGAGAAAGATCAACAAGACAAAAAAAAAATCAGTAAAGAAAGAACAGAACTGAATCAAATATGTGAACAAATGGACTTAGCATGTTTACAGTGTTCCACACAACATCAGAAAACATCCTTTTCAGCTGCACATGGATCACTCTCCAAAATAGACCATCTACTAGTGTACAGAACATGCTTAAGTAAGTACAAAAGAACTGAAATTATCCCATATGTAATATCTGAGCACAGTGCAATGAAATTGGAAACTAATGGCAAAAGAGACAGAAAAAATTCAATAAAATGTGGAAATTAAATAACATTCTCCTGAAAAACCAGTGGATCACAGATGATATTAAACAATAACTCCAATCAAATGAAAATGCAAACATAACATACTGAAGCCTGTGGGATGCAATGAAAGCAGTCCTAAGAGGGAAATTTATAGCAATGAGTTCTCACATCAGAAAATCAGTGAGCACAAATAAACAATGTAATGCTACACCTGAAGATTCTAGAAAAAAGAAAAGCAAATCAAGCCCAAACCAATAAAAGGAGGAAATTATAAAGATCAGAGCAGAATTTAATGCAACTGAGGCTAAGAAAACAATATGAAGAATTAATGAATTGAATAGTTGGTTCTTTGAAAGAATAAACAAAATTGATAAACCTCTATACAATCTTATCAAGAAAAGGAAAGAAAAAACTCAAATTCATGCATTAACAAAGGAAAACAGTAAAATCACGACAGATTCTGTGGAAATTCAGATCATCAATACCTACTTCAAAAATCTATACTCCCATAGAATGGAAAATTCAGAGGAAATGTACAGATTCCTAGAAATGAGTGAATTACCAAAGTTGAGTCAAGAAGATGTAAAAATTTTGAATAACCCAATAACAGTTATTGAAATTGAAAATGTAATTAAAAATTTACCAACAAAGAAAAGCCCAAGTTCTGAAGAATTCAAGGCTGAATTCTACAAGAAGTTAAGAGATAATTCAGTGCCAATGCTCCTGAAACTCTTTAATGAAATTGAAAAGGAAGAATTCTCCCTAATTCATTCCTAGAGGCAAGTATTACTCTGATACAAAACCAGAAAAATTCCCAACCAAAATAGAACTATAGACCAATCTTGCTAATAAACATAGATTCAAAAATCCTCAATAAAATGCTAGCAAATAGAATTCAGCAAATCATCAAGAGGATTATATACCATGACCAAGTGGGATATATCCCAGGAATGCAAGGATGGTTCAGCATACACAAATCAAGAAACATACAACATATTAACAGAACCAAAGGGAAAAATCATATTGTCTCGATCAATGCAGAAAAAGCTTTTGATAAAGTTAAACACTTTTGATAAAAATCCTATAGAAAATCTGAATACATGAGGTTTACCACAATCTGATAAAAGTCAGCTGTGGTAAACCAACAGCCAGCATCATACTAAATGGACAAAACCTGAAAACTTTCACTCTAAAATCAGAACAAGACAAAGATAACCATTATCACCACTCCTATTTACTACAGTTCTGGAAACATTAGCCAGAGCAATTAGACAAGAAAGAGATATAAAATGAAAAAGGATAGGAAAGAGAGAAGTTGAGCATCATTATTTGCAGATGACACAATACTTTACGACTCCCAAAATGCCACCAAAAGTCTACTAGATTTAATAAGCAAATTCAGCAGCATAGCAGGATACAAAGTCAGCATTCAAAAATTAACAACATTCTTATACATGAACAACAAACTCACTGAGAGAATAATTAGGGAAACAACACTTTTCACAATAGAACAATAGCAGCAAAATAATGAAATACTTAGGAATCAATCTAACAAAGGAAATTAAAGATCTATATATTGAAAATTGCAGTTCTCTGAAGAAGGAGATCAAAAAGGGTCTCAGAAAATGAAAAGATATTCCCTGATCATGGACAGG